GGTAGGAGGAGCTGGCACGATCATCTTTCCTGATAAGGGTGAAGATCCTACTGCTTATCCTTCCATGTTTCCAGCAGCTTCCGTGGGAGACTTGGTAGGAAACGCCATATTAAGTTATTTGAAATCTACAAAATCACCTACAGCTTCACTAACTTTCAAAGGAACCACTTATGGAAAGCGTGCACCAATGATGGCTGAGTTTTCATCGAGAGGACCAAATCTAGTTGGTCCTGACCTGCTCAAACCGGACTTGACTGCACCAGGAGTGAACATATTAGCAGCGTGGCCAAGTATAAGTAGCCCATCTGGGGAGGAGGGTGACAAAAGAAGGGTTCTATTCAATTTAATGTCAGGGACTTCGATGGCTTGCCCTCATGTTAGTGGCCTAGCAGCACTACTTATATCAAGGCACAGAGAATGGTCGCCAGCGGCAGTTAAATCAGCTATGATGACAACCGCTTATAATTTGGATAATAGAGGGAGTCCAATTAAGGATGTTTATACTGGTGGCCCTGCAACACCTTTTGCAATTGGTTCAGGCCATGTTGATATACAGAAAGCTTCTGATCCGGGATTACTATATGACATCGGCCCTCATGAGTATTTACATTACTTGTGTAGCCTCAATTATAGTCCTTCTCAGATAGCCTTATTTGATCGGAATTTCACATGCCCCAAAAGGTCCACCATGCAGCCTGGAGATCTGAACTATCCTTCCTTTGCAGTGCCTTTTGAGAGTGATGCTGTTACGATTACCTACAGAAGAACTGTCACAAATATTGGAAATCCTCCAGTAGGTACTTATAAAGTGCAAGTGGAAGAACCCATAGGAATATCAGTTAGGGTGAAGCCTAACATTTTAAGTTTTAAGATGCATGGTCAGAAGCTACAATACAAGGTGAGTTTCACTGTAAAAAGACCACTCACTGAATCTGATGACTCATCATTTGGATCTTTAACATGGGTGTCTGAGAAATACGCGGTCCGAAGTCCTATTGTAATAACTTATATATAGAGAGAGCCCTGTGCTTATCATAACGGAAAGCAGGGGATTTAATCATGTACTGCTCAAGCTATTGTGTGTGTGCTATGCTTATGTGTAATTAATGTTTGATTGGAAAAATAATTAAAAGCATATAAAATGCTTTTTATCTACTTCGGCTTAATTTTATCTTTCAAATGTGACCTCCGCGCTTGTTATTCCCCGTAAAGAAAAATTTTAATTATGCAGCAGCAGAAATTTCCAGAAGAATGTCCTTTATTTTAATATATTTATTATTTTGCTTCTTCCTCTGCCAAAATCATCATCTCAGCCACTAAGACACTAAAATACTGGTTCCGTCGAAATAGTCTTCTCTGCTTATTTCTCTTTTTGTTGTTGATTCGTTCTTGGATACCATTCAAAGTGAATAATTAGGGTGGAAAATCTCAGAATTGCTACGTGAAATCTGCTTGTTATAAATTAAATGATATACCCCTTATTTTTACTAATATATATTTTCATTGTCGCACTTCTATGGCTCAGTGAAAACCCACTCAAAGAAATCAACGAGAAACCTTTCGCGGCCCAATTGCGGAGACTCATTTCCTCTGTTTCAGACAGCCAAGAAGCTTCTGACACTCCCCTGCTATGAGCGGCGGAGAGGGAAAAAGGGAGCACCGGCGTACGACAGCTGGTGGAGGGTGTCCGCAGCTAGAGGAAGGGAGAAATGGTGAACGGAGGCCAACATGGTGGAGAGTGCGATGGAACCTTTTTTTTTTTGCAGGGGGAGAGTCCGGGTGAAGGATCTGTGCGGCAGTTGAGTGTTTCCCCTTTGGTTGCGTCGTTGCCGAAAAGATGATGTGGACGGCAGCAAGAGGAACCCAGATCGGAGAAGAATAAGAGGGAAGGAGTCGAGTCGAGGGAGAGAAGACAGCGCCGAGGCCAACGTAATTTGAGTGGGCTGGTGGCTGATATTAGGTTTTTGGTTTTTTTTTTTGGTAGAATTTTAGGTTTCTGTTTACGGGGTCATGGAAAAGAGTAATGTTTTGGGCCGGATTTGACAAGGTTTAAGGTTAGGCTATGGGTTCCTGATTAGGGCTTACGGTTTTCATATGTGGGCTTTAGGAATTGGATCAAAGCCATGGGTTCGACTTTAAATTCATTTTTCTTTTCTTCTGGCGCCTCAGTTTCCCAAGTCTTTAAATTTAGTTCATTACCACCCCCCCCTCCCTCCCTCCCTCCCACCCTTTTTACCCTCCGCATTTTATTTCTCAGGTCTTAAAATTAAAAAAAAATAAAGAGTTATTGTTTTTTTGACCATCTAATCTCCTTCAATTGGATCCTTAATGTTCTTTTTTCCCTTTTTTTTTTGGTAGTTAAACATTATTATGAGGAAACTTTAAGCTACTCTCAATTCACTCAAAAATGAGTATTTGACAATATAAAGAAAAGTTTAAAGAAAAATAAAAATTAATTAATGATATGAAATCTAAAACTTTAATTTTCTATTATTGTTGAAGTCTTTGTTGCCACACGTCTTTGGATCTCCTAAAAAAATCCCCAAATTTGGTGTCAAATGGGTATTTTTTTTTTATAGAAGTTGAAGAAACCTAGTAGAAAATTAGTGGGTCCTAAATCAAAATAAAATTTTTTTGAAAGGAAATGCTGAAAATTGCTCATGGTGTCGGTACCTAAAAGTAACGTGCAACACCATACTTGAATGCCTATTGCCTCATGCCTAAATCCCTGTTGCCTCGTCCCTAAATCAAGTTGGTTAAAATATCAATTTGATCTCTCAGTTTTTAGATTTATACTACTTTAAAAGTATTAAAATTATCTTTAAATTTTAATTTTTAATATTAAAAAAATTATTTTTTAATAAAAATATTATGTAATTTATTATTTTATTACAAAATTAATTTTTTTAAATATTAATAATATATAAAATTATATAATCATATTTACTATTATGATATATTTTTATTTATATATGAGATTAATATATAATTAAAGTTATAAAACAAGCAAGTTCGACATGAACTTTTAGAGCAATGAAGAAAGGGTGTCGACACCAAGTCCGGGTCGGAAAATTGAGCTTTTGTGATTTCTTTAATGGTAAAATATTAGATGTTGGTCCCAAAACGTTTCAATTTTATTCATTTTGATCCCAAAAATCAAATTGGTTCAATAAGATCCCTGCTTTTTGACTTGTCCTTATAATTGTATCCTTAACGTTATGAAAGATTTGCACTTAAACCCCAAACTTTTTAATTTTATGCACACTAATCCGTTTTTTTGAATGAAAAGACAAAAACGAGAATTTAACCTATTTTCATTTATCTTACGGAACATATATAAAGTTCCTTTTTGACAGTCTGCAGTACACCATGTTGTTAAAAAAAAATTGTATTAGTAGATAGAGCGACAATCTCAATATTAAGAATTCAGTCCCTAAAGATTAGCGTTATGTAATTTGATAAGCGACATACACAAGGGAAACACTAAACAATTGTTAATGTTTACCGAGATCCAAAGTCTTGAAGAACTGTGGATGCATGTGAAAGCATCTGTCCTCTGCTCCAAGATATTGTGAGAATGCCATCAATTCAATAAATAGACTGGTTTTTATTTGGTTTGAGGGCATTCCAGCAGCAAGAGTTGTATCATAAGTTTCCACGCTGAATCATGAAGCCCCCCTTTCCCTCCACTTGGAAATTGAGATCACAGGTATTGACTCTTAACAGATGATATCGAGTCGCTGCTTTGATCTTCAGCAAGAAGATCCATTCATCATTGGCCACATAACATACTACTGTTCATTGCCACTCTTATCTGAACTAACATAATTCTCAATGTCACCAACTGCAACAGTCCCTTGCTCATCAAAAAATTCTCTATCAGTGAAGAATAATCCATCCTCTGGAGGTTTATAGTCTTTTCCTCTTCCAACCACAATCTGCTCCTTGTCAAATGTCACCAATATGCATGGAACCAGGTCCTATAACAATATTGAAAAGAAGCGATAATTAAGATCGAAAAGCAATGTGAAGTGATAGAAAGGAAAAGGAGAACAGCATCCCAATTAAATCTTGAATCCTATTATAATGCACATAATGCCATCACCATAGAAGCAACATGAAGCCACAGATCATTAAAAGTAACAGTTCATATAGCTCATAAACTATATAGATTTATCAGAAGCAAAAATGGAAAGCTAT